TCTCTAAATCAGTAGCACTTTGCATACAGGCTCTGGTAAAGCTGCAGCTTTACACATCACCCCCCAGCCCCCTGCCTCAGTTTACCTCYGTCAAGGCCAACGCGCATTTCCCTTCCCGCGGTGCCAAGGGGAGCRGGAGGAGGAGGAGGACGGCGCGGCTGAGCGCTCCCAGCTCTGCCATCTCCCGCCCACCTCCACCAGCAGCAGAGCCGACAGCGCAGGGGAGAAGGGAGAGCGCTTGGAACGGGCAGGGGGATTCGTGGCACGGGCAGGGGGATTCGTGCCTGCGGACACACCAACCTTTATGCAACAGCAGGAGCGTCGGGTCAACAACAAAGCAGTAGCGCATGTGCCTGTGGTTAAATTGGAAGGAAATGTGCATGAATCTCTCTCTTGCAGGCAGGTCTCCAAGAATTCCAGGGTTGCGTTGGGCTGATTGATTTTTATTCGCACCTGGCAGGTCCAGGGAAAGGGAGTGAGGAAGGTTTTCTAGGAGAGCGAGGGGCTTTTCCAGGATGTTTGGATTGAGCAAAAGGGCAGAGAAGTGAGTATGAGATGCATTATGGAAGCAGGATGTGGGATGGAGAAAATGTTTATACAGCCAATTGTGGGCTAATCCATGAGATGCTTTAGAGACCATAAAAGCCATCTGTAAGTGGATTCATCACATTCTGTAGGAAACTGGTGGTTTAAAACAATGCAGTCCACATTCTTTGATCCATTGTGAAGAGCTCGGAGTTGGGAGGCTGACATAAAGAGGACAACAAGTAGATCCACACCTTCTGCGTGGCACATGGATGGGTGGGAAGGACCTCTGCTGATCCCGTGCAGTAAGAGAACCGGGGGCCAAACTAAACTAAGAGGAGCCAGATGCGAAGCAAGCAGAAGGAAAAGCTGGATTTTCCTCACAGCACGGGCTGCCCTGCATGTGTTTTGCCACCGGAATGGGTGTTACAGGATCACAGGGAGACTGGAAAAAGAAATGGGACCTCCGTTTAAGAGAAATCCACTGACAGAATTGACCCCTCAAATGACTGAAGGTCAAGAGGGTGCTGGAATATATATATATATACATACATACATATATATATATATATACATATATACGATCCCTCTGTTCTTGCTCTCCTTCCCAGGCATCTTTCTGGGCAGTTTTTGGAGATGGGACACTTGCCTGGCTGGACCTCGGGCTGCAGCACCTTTATGGGGGTCCAGGCCACAGATGAAGCCCTGCATGAAATCAAAATCAGAGTGTTCAAATTTCCCCATAAGGCCAAAATGAGGCCAATCCCACCCCAGCTCCTGCCACGGCTCCCTCAGGGATGTGACCTGGAGATTGCTCTCAGGAGCATTGGTTACAGGCAGCACAAGAGGAAAAACAGCAGCCCTTAAGCAACTGTCCTCTCTAACCTAATCAGACCTCGGTTTACCACTTGGGACTTCCRAAAATTAGGCGTTTGGCCTCTTTCCCCTGCATAAGGGCAAGAAAGAATGACCCAGCAGAACCTGAAATAACATGCTTGTTCATCGTTTAAACATGTTCTTTTGCAATAAGCAACGAAACCAGCAGAGACGCAGTTCTTAAAAGCACCTCAAGTACCTCGGTCTGGCATAAACAATGGGAGACACAAGAGGTGAGTCAGAAATATGGCATTTGCAGGTCTCCATTTTCAGCCTCCAGTTAGCAGAAACGTTGGCAATTTGTATTGTCCTCTGATACAACTGCTTGACCTCAGTGCAGCTTATGCTCATTGCTTGCAGGAATATGCTTGTTTGCTCCGTGCGTGCCTGGCATATTTCTTGTATCTAAGCTTGATAGATGAAATATTGCTTATATGACAGTGCAGATGGGGTTGAATGAATCAACGGCTGGTTGGCCAAGTAATCCAGGAAAACAGAAATACTGTTTGTGATAAAAAGAAGACCTGAGAAGTTCCTCGTTAATTCTGCCTAGCTATTTTTATACCAGTTCACTCCTTTTCTGCTTACCATGCCTTTAATCTCTCACGTTGACAGAAAATGGAGAGGATCCATCTCTTTGCCCAAAGCAAGGTCAGCTCTTCTTTCCTGACAGCTGCAAATACAGCCCTAGCCTGAGAGACCTTTTGCAATGAAAATCTTGTTCCTGGCTTCATTAGCTTGCTGGGGTTGATGTTCCTCCTGACGTCTTCGTGTTTGTGTGGCTGTGCACCTCTCTTCAACCCCTGGGTATGGTCTGAGGGTAGGTATTTTAATTAAACATATTCATCCATGAAGGAGCTGGATTCCTCCTGCTACTGATCAACAAGTACATATGTCTGGCCCCAGGATTTATGCAAYCAGAACAAGTTGCCGGGGGTTCTCTGTTCCAAACAGCTCCTCCAAAGGCTGAAGCTGCCCGGGCAGTCAGGCTAGTTTTGGAGAAAAGGTCACTTTGACTAGCTGGGACRTCAGACCAGAAGCTTTGCAGTCAGACAGGCACCTCCACTGCCCTGACATGATTTCCTCAACTCAGTTCCCCATCACACAGACTCTGGGGACAGCAGGTTTTGTGGCACTGGACCCAGAACACCGTTGAGGGGAGAAGGAAGAAGAGGGAGAAACAGCTGAGTGAAGTCTTGGGGAAACAGAGACAGTTCCCGAGCTGCAGTTACCATTTCTTCTGTTGTTCAGCAGTGATGAGAAGGAGAAAGGAGAACCTTTGCCTCTCTGCATCTGCAGGAGCACACAGCAGCCCTAGCTGCAAACACCTGCACGCTCCTAGAAAGGTCAGCCCTTCATTTCACAGCTATGCTGCAAAAACAAAGCTCTTGATATTCAGTGCACAAATTTCTGCCTTTAAATGTGTCGATTAAGACGAGCATTGCTGAAGCTGCCCAAAGTTCAGTTTAAACACACAGGATGCACTAAAAAGCATAGATTTAAGTATGTATTTTACATTAAATAGAGGCTTAAGGGTTTCACTACTGGGAGAAGGGAAGGAAGTGCTGTTTTCAGCATGCCTGCTCCTGCGTGGGAAGATGTCATTTCTGTCTCTTCCTGAGCTCTAAGGGGCCTTTCTTGTATTGCCTGGGATTGATTTGAAGCAGCAGACACTGCTATTTGGGACCTCGTGGCAGGGCTTTCCTTATGACTACACATCTTTTCTCCTGGAAGTCTGGCACCTAAAATACCAGCAAGAAACGCTCCAGGGGACTGTTGTTTGTGCCCTGCCGCGCGCGCAGCACAGCGGAGCAGCCGAGCATCAATCTCGCTCCCCGCTGCACCTCAGCTTCTGCTGGTGCCGCAGACATTCAAGCAGTACGAGGGGGGCTGGTGCCTGCCAGGCACGCTGAGCAACGGGGGACTGGCTTTTTAATGTGCTCAGAGCCCCTGGCTGCTTTCCCCAGCCATATGCCGGAGCTGGTAAGCACAGTGGGGCAGCTCTGATTCATAGGATGCTCTGCTCCTCCAGGCCTGGTGGAACCCCGTCTGCAGGGCGGCATTGGGACAGGCCGAGGGGGTGTGCAGGGAAATCAGATAGCTCTCAAAGTACAAAGTTCTCCCCRGGAGAAACATGTAGGGATCGATGAAGGGAAAAGGCAGGATACTGGAAGGAGACCTTGTCCTTGCACTGAAGCCCGACATCCGAGCCCCACTGGTGGGCTTCTGCCATTGACTTCTATTTGTTTTTCTGGCCTCCTTTCCCTTCTCTGTCATGTATTCTGTCCCTTCTCCTGCTATCTGACCAGGGAGCTGCCAAATACCCTACAGCAGAGTTCAGACTTCCTTGAAGAAGGTAATGACTGCTGTTTGTTAACCAATTGATAGGACAACTTCAAGAAACCAGAATGGTTTAGGAGCAGCTCTGCGTCTGCTCGTGCTCAGTCCAAAACACAGCTCTCTCCACCTCCCTGGGAACGTTCTCAGCATCTCCGGAGAAGCCACCAGGCGATGCTGACCTCTGCTAGACACTGCCTTGTGCTGCAGCTCCCGGGCCAGCCCGAACGCCGCGCATTCCTGGGACGCGAATGCCCTCTAAAGGAGAGCAACTTCTCGGCACCAAACCCAGAGCGCAGGAGCTGCAGAATAGGCTCCAACGCGTGGCGTGTCCGGGGGCTCATCAGGCCCCAGTTGTGCAGAGAAAGGGATACGGGGCCGGGAGGAAGCAGGGACACACGCGGGAGGCCGCGCTCCACACCCGGATCCCTTGCTCTGCCACTAAGAGGTGCTTGGAGACACTCATCTACGTGCTGTGATCGTAAATAACTGCAGCCCAACGACAGAGCGTGTGGTTCATCCCCTCCGCTGAGCTCAGCTGCCAGTCAGCGGGTTATTCAGCACCTGGGGAGCCCGTCCCGTCACGGGCGGCTGCTCTAACACCCGCTGAGCCTCCACCCCCAAACCCGCGACCAGGGCAAAGCCCGCGCTTCATCCGCGCCGCCTCTTCCTCCAGCCGCGAGCTCCGCGCAGGGGGAAGCTGCGGCTGCCGGCTTCTGCTTTAAGCCTTGCCCTTGCTCGGGGAGCGCCCCTCGGCGCGGGGCCRCGGCGGCGAGGGCTCCGTCACGTCGGCCTCAGGCCTTGCGCCCGTGGCGGGAGCTGCCGCCATGTGGGGAGCGCCCGCCAGCAGCGGCCTCTGGGCTGCCCCCGGCCCGCAGCACCTCTCACCTGGCCACATTCACGGGACTTAAACTATTTTTTTAAGTTAATTATTTTTATTTGCAGTTTTCTGAATTTGTAAGAACTAGCTGGCTGCTCTGGAGACCTGGGAGGCTTGGAGGAGTGTCAGGCCCACCAGGCCATGGCGCTTTCACCTGCACACCTCCCTCTCGTGCTGCTGGGGCTGCTCCCCCCGGGGGCGCAGGAGTTTGGGGCAAGACGAAGCGATTTTGGTTTCTCTCACCCCCCGCCGCCCTTTGCATTTCCCCCTCCCCGCCAAGGTAACGGGATGGGGGGGGGTCGGGACTACGATTCCCAGGAGCCCCCGCGGCTCTCGCGAGAGCGGCGCTGACCCTGGCGCGCGCAGCCCCCCCGCCCCTCCCTCTGCCCCGCCGCGGGACGCCATGGCGGTGATGGTGAGTACGGGCGCCGCCATCCGCCGCCATCCGCGGCCGYGACGCCTCGAGGCTGCCCCGCGAGGACGGAGCGTGGCCCCCACACCCGCCACGGAGGCCTCGGCGCTGCGCGGCCGCCCGCCGCGGCGCTGCCGGGATGGGGCCCCGCGGCCGGCGCGGAGGCCTAGGCCGGGCCTTGGCGGTGCGGGAAGGCGCCCCGCGGCCAGGCTCCCGCCGCGCCGCCCGCCGAGCGAGYGATGAGACGTTATCCCTGTCCGAAACCAAACCTTCCCCTGTGGAAGCACCACTCTGAGGCTCGGCACCAAGCAGCCCGAGGTAAAAGAGCGGCTCGTGGCGTGTCTTACCTCCATCCCCTTCCTCTCTTCCAGGGCACAGCACGTGGCCAAGCGAGGCCAGGAGAGTTTCTGGCACTCGCCTTCCAGGGAACCTGAGCTGATGACTTCGCTGGACTAACAACATCAGCCTCGCCAGCTGCACAATGGTGAGAAACACCACAGTCTGCTGGCTATCAGCCTTGTACTTGTCCCTGCTGCTGGGCTTTGGAAGCAAAACCTGTGCTGCCCTGTTAGATGATACCCTCACAGTCCTGGAGCTACCAGGAGCGGATATAAAAACCCAGTGACTTGATTAATGTAATTAAGCCAATCAAGGCTGTAGCTTTGTTGCAGCTGCCACCTGAGTGTTTATCCCTTTGCTGTCACGAAGCCCAAGTTGAAAGGCAGCATAGAGTGAATGGGAATTTTAATGGTTGGCACCTGGTTGTCAGCACGGTCAAAGATGAGCAAAAAGAAGGGATTAGAGGGAGGAAGGATTGGATGACTCCCCATTGTGGAGACACTTGACACAGCTCATTTCAGAAGTGTTCTTGTCATGAAAATAGGCCTAGTGAAAGAATAATTGGTCTGTGGGTTCACCTTGCTGGGACAATTTTAAATTTGCATCAGGTGCCTGGAGCTAGGGGGATGCAGCTCAAGTTCACCAAATGGGCATCCTAGAGAGGACACCCACCGAGGCATTCTCCTTCAAGAATATATGTCTTTCTTAAGTCTGCTCAAATGCCCTTCTCCAAAAAAAAATCTTAGCTAGTTTACATCTCCCGTGGGTGAATTATTCTTGCTTGTAAGGCAGGTTTGCATTAAGATGCTGCTGAATGATGATGCTTAGGGATATTGTCTGCTTGGAACAGCTAAGAAGGGTCTAAACCACCAAAGTCCCAAAGCTGATGCTTTTTTCCTAAGTGAAGATTGGAAGGGCATCCACTTTTCTTTCTTGCTTTGTGGCTTAGTGCTGTTTTTATCAAAGCAGGTGGAAAACTTCACTTGAACGAGTGCTATAATAGTATCTAATATATGCACCCAGGAGCCAAACATCCTTTAAATTCTCTGCCTTGTATCTTCTCCCAAAGAGCAAGTAGCTACTAAGACAACCCACAAACTGATGAGGGAATTCTTGAGTATAGTGAGCTCACTATAGCTCACTTCAAATCTGTCGTATGCCAGAATTCTAGGCTTGACTCATCTGTTGCTCACCAGTACCTTATCTTTGGGCATTTCTGGGGAAAAACTCCTAGTCACTGACATATCTGTGTCTTGATTTTATTGAACTCTGTAGAACTTGAGGAATTTAAGTGGCAGGGGAGAAACTGAGCCAGTGATGTACTGTTATCCCTGTCTGACTGCTCAGCTGTGAGGGAGAAATAACTACACTGAGGCTTCAGCAATTTCTCCCCCATGTAGCAAGGCTCAGCGCAGAGAGTACAGTTTTCAGAGCATGGTTTTAGTTCTGGACCCTCAGAGATTTGTTTTTGGTTGATCATCCGAACGGTTTGCGCAGTGACACCTTGGAGGGCTGGTAGGACACGCTCCCCTGATTTATAGTTGCTGAACACACATGCAGGAGCACTGTAGCTGCAGGTGGTGACACGTGGATTCCTTAAAGCTCAACTCTCCTTTCATTTTACAGGATTTGCAATTGTTTGCTGAAGGCCATTGACGTGCMCTGATGGCCTGAACTGCAGATCTGACAAGGGACCTTCTTGGGAAATCAAGGCTGGTGTGTAAAAGGGGAGGGGATGTTTCTGAAGTACTTGTGGCCRTTGTTCTTGTCAATATGGATTCGTTCCAAGTAAGACAAGTCAGTGGGAAGAGCAGGTTGGTGTTCTTGCCTTGCAGGGAGCAAGGGAGGGGGCACAGCAGTGAAGAAACACCATGGTGACAAAGAGGAAGGTAAAAGCTATGATTCYTTGCACTCGTGAGGCATGATGTGGGGAGGAGCAAACTATGTTCAGTGTGAGATCTTCTGCCAGCTGGTCCCAACATCTCTTAAGCTTCTCAGTCTTCTGAGATTTCTTGATTAAATAATAAATAAGAGTAAGATTTTTTCAGCTGACTGTTGCATTTGCTCTGACTGTCTCTTCCACTAAGGCCTGGGCTACAGCTGCCTGGAGGAAGGATTTGTTCCCTGCTGTCTTCTATTCCAGAATAAAATAAATTATTGAAACATCTTGAGAGTTGAAATTTCTTGTTAAGAACATCTACTCAAATAGAAGTGGGGATTTCAGTTTGAAATGGTTTCTGGAATTCAGGCGGCTGGAAGCTCAGTGTTCATCACGCAGCCTTTTAGCCTCTGAGAGGGCTGAAGAGCCTTCAGACTTCAGCGCCTTCGGAGGGGAACGGGCAGCGTTTAAAGAAATTCACGGGAGCGCTATAAGAGGGCGCCTTTCCGTCGACAAAACAAGGTATGACTAAGCTTAGGGCTKATGAAAAGTGTGTCTTAACAGAGTGCCTGCAAGCCCAGATAAGGGAAGAATGGGAGGCAGTAGCACTGCCAGCAGGTTCCTTATCTGTTGATTAAAAATAGGGGTGCTTAATTCCTGTGCCAGGCTGCTGCATTGGCTGGACAGCCTCCCTGTTTCAAATAGGAAAGGTGGGTCTGGGAGTGGAAAAAGCTCTGATCCCGCAGCCTGGAGCCTTGCAAGGTGGACCTGGCCTGGGTTCCTGGCAGGCGCTGCAGTGACGACATCTGCAGAAGCAGGACGTGCTGCGTGCGTCGTGGTGCAGATGACAAAGCCGCCCGTGGGGGCTGCGCTGGCGCTTGGCAGAGCTGGTTTGGGGAGGTTGTGGTGCCCTCATCATCACCGGCAGGCAAAGTAAGAATCAGGCTTGTGCTTGTCCTGGTAGAGGCTCTGGCTGCCCAGGTGCTTCCAGGTGCAAAGGAGCCTAACTGGCAGCCCCGATGCCGTTGTAAAATGATGGGAACAAAGGTTAATGTGAGACTCRAAATGATGGGAACAGGTTAATGTGAGCCTCGCCTGAGACCACAAGATGGTCTCCACGTTCGCGGTCTCACCCAGACGTCTTTTTAACCCACTTTAACGTGTGAAAAGGCTGGATTCAGCCTGCTGCCTGAAAGAGGGAAACTTGAAGGGTGTTTTTTGGTTAATGGCCAGACTCTTATCTGTTCCCATCTCAGCAGCTACCTGCCTTTCCCCAGCTGCCAGCAGCTAGCATCCAGAATGAGAAACACAGTGCCGAAACCAGCCCGGGCGAGTTGTCACAGGGGTCCTCTGGCCTGGGACTTGGGGCTCGTTCGTCAGCCGTGACAAACGCCTGCCGGGCGCATGAGGCTGGGCACGGGCTCTGGGTTTAGCCCTGTTCTGCCCTACAACCGCCCTTGGGGGCTGCTCCCAAGTGCGAGGCACCCTCTTGGGTGCTAGGGCCTTTCCGTAGGGAGAAATGCACCCCGCCCCGTTCACCAACACAGAAACCGGCATAAAAGAAAACAGTCGTTCGACATTTATGCAATTATACAAAGTGGGAAACGTTTCTGTCCCCTCCGTAGCCGCCCCGCTAGCCACCGCGCTGAAGCAGCGTCCCCGGCAGAGCTCAGGGTTTCTGGACCTTCTCCCCTAGCGTTACTACTACTTTTAATTAAGAGACTAATGGCAGCTTAGACTTGCACCGTGAGCTGCTGCTTCCCTAACACATCTGCTGACGGGAGAGCTGCCTTCTTAAAGCATGTGGAGGGCCTTGCACGATGCCAGGGCAAAAACTGAAGGCCCATCCTCTTTTCTGAAGCTCCAGTTGCAGTAATCCTAGTCTTACCTCGTGGATATTTTCTGTTGTTTAAAGACATTTAAAGACATTGCCTTGACCCTCCCCACAATATAAAAAGGGAAAAGAGTGAAAAACKACATTCTTAAAACTGTCACAGGAAAGGGCAGCAAATCCTCTGCTGTCTTGTGGTGATGGAGGCAGAAAGATCCTTCTGGAAAGACGCACAACAATCCAGAGGTTTGTGGCAGCTTCAGGCAGTCCAAGCGAGAAGCGTCCTCCCAACAGACCACATCCTGGTTAGGTGGGCAGAATAAGGTCCATGCCCATTGTGGTTGTGCTCTGGTGAGCATTTGGACTGATGGATCCTGGAGTAGGATAGCTGGGGGTTCTCCAGCCAGAGGCTTCACACTAGTAGAAAACAGGTAAATCTCCAGGAAAGGTGAAGTAATTAAAAAAAGGGACTGTGACACTCCTGCTTCTCCATTGTCCTCTTCCCCGTCATCCTGCCCCTCGTGGCAGCAGAGCTCGGTTCATTCCGGGTGCTGCTGCCGCCTCACAGAGGTGCTCACAGCCCTGGAAGGTCACGGCCACGCTCAGTGGTGCTTCTTGGTGCCACCCAGGCCACGTTTCAACTGCGCTAAGCCACAAGTTCCTGCAGAGCTCTGAGGAAATATTGCAGCATTTTCCTAACCCTGTTGGCCCTCGCGRCCACCAGCGGCTGCCAGCAGCTTAAGTGCAGAAGACCTGCTCCTCAGCAGCTAGCCTAGAGTCCTGGAGGGCCTTAGGAAAGAGAAGGGGGCCTTCAGGAAAGAGAACCACCGCGTCATGACACAAGCAGAGTCCTGCGGGCTGCTGCCCTGCCTCACCGCTGGTAAAGCTTCATGATCCCTGCTTGATGCAAGCTCTTCCACAGCTCTGCCTCCAGCATCATGTCGTGGTTGGCGTAAAACATCAGAGGTTTCTTCTCCGGCTCGTAGTAGTGGTCTGAGAACTCCTCATAGTTGTCAGTAATAAACCCATAGGCATCGACCTGCAAGGAGGAGGAGGAAACAGATGGGCAAGAGCTGGGAATAGGCTATCGGGGTGCTAAGCTGAGTGAGTTGGGCCTGTTCAGCTTGGGGAAGAGAAGGCTGAGAGGGGATCTGATCARCGTGTATAAGTTCATGAAGGGGGAATGTAGGGAGGAAGGGGCCAAGCTCTTCTCAGTGGTGGCCAGTGACAGGACAAGGGGAGATGGGTGTGAGTTAGAACMCARGCAGTTCCATCTCCAGGTGAGGAGGAACWTCTTTCCTRTGAGGGTGCCAGAGCCCTGGCACAGGCTGCCCAGGGAGGYTGTGGAGTCTCCTTCTCTGGAGGTCTYCAAAACCCGCCTGGATGCCGCCCTGTGCCACATGCTCTGGGTGTGCCTGCTGGAGCAGGGAGGTTGGACTGGATGATCTCTAGAGGTCCCATCCAACCTTAACCATTCTGTGATTCTGTGTAAACATGTAGGGCAGCAAGCAATGAGCTCCACCAGCTCATCCCCATCAGAAGGGCAGGGTAACCCACACCAAACTGTGCCCCATAGCCGGTGGAACACTCTCCAGTGCTGGGGCAAGGTGGCCCCCCAGCCTCTTACCTGGTCACAGGTGTGCAGCGCGGTCAGGAGCATGAGTGCCCCTGTACTGGGCATGTAGAGGTGGCTGTACTGAGTGTCCATGATTTCCGACCTCAGGAACCTGGGAACAAAGGCAGCCGGTTAGGRAGACCCCCCGGCCACCACAAGGTCCCCAAGCTGCAGAGCAGCAAAGCCCAGGCCAGGACCTGGAGTCCCTGCTGTCTGATAAGGAAGGAGCAGCCACTGAAACGCATCCCCTGGTGTCTTGTGGATTCTCTGATGCCTGTTCCTAAGGCTCAGCTCATCCTCTGCAGGATGCTAGAAGACACCTCCCCACTGCTCTCAGTCACCCCGAGCCAGGCCCATATTTTCACGAAACACAGAAAAAGACAATCCTGCTGGTCCCTAGCTCTGTCTCCCTAGTAAAGCAGGTCAACACTGGCCCACTAATTTGGCGCAGCAAAGGCAAGGCTTAGGTGGAAGTGGCAATGATGCACAATCCAGCGGGGCAGCGGGGAATCTCTCGGCTTTGGCCACAGAGAACAGGGCAGTTCTAGTCGCCAAGATGGACTGGGACTGTTTTGATGGTGGGGAGCAGCATCATGGTCATATAGAAAAGAGAAGGGCTGGGAAGCAAGTGGTCTGGCTGTAGCTGGTGATGAGGGACCAAGCAGGGAGCAGATCTGGCCAGAGCCGAGTCTCCAGAGGAGCCTGCAAGCCTCACTTTCCCTACCTTGTTGTTACATAATGCAGGAAATCTGGATGCAGCAGCTTGAACTTCTTTGCAGATGCCTCCGGTCCAAAATACTTCTGTGGCCTGCAGCAGGGAGATGGAAAAGAAGATTGTGTCGTAGAAATCCTGCGGCCACTTGGGATTTATCCCTCGGGACCACCAAATGTGTCAGCTGAGGGAGCCGGGCAGCTCGAGAGCACTGAATACAATTCAACATGCTCTGCTCTGAGCTTTGCTTCGCATTGCAGCAACGCAGCTGCTGCTGGACACCCCAGACAAGGCTCTCGGGTTCCCAGGACTCATTTGTGGGGCCCTGTTGGGCACCAACAGTCTCTGAGAGGGAAGAAGAGGCAGAAAAGCGACTTTGCCCTGTCCTTGTTTCCCGAGAGACAAGCCCTTGCTGCATCCCAGCTTCCTGGGTGACGGCAGGCGAGCGGCACTCCTGCGGTGCCCCAAGGAGCGAGCAGGGATAGGAGGAGCGCTCCATCCCGCAGGGGATCCCCATGGGTCCCCAAGGCGCACGGACAGCGGCAGGCCGGAGCCACGCCAGCCCCAAGCCCAAAGGTGGGTGCAGGGATGCCAGAGATACTCACTCGTCACCCTTGTCCAAGCCCTCGGGGACCGGGCTGCCCTCGATGGCTGACTTCAGCATGACGTAGTCTCGCATGTCCGAGGGGATAAAGATGTATCTCAGGTCCTGCAGCAGGGACACAGGAGCAGACACATGGTGCTTTGGGAGGGCCAAAGTGTCCCAAGACTTGGAGAAGGTTTTTGGGAGCAGGTTGTAGCCTGGCCTCAGGGGACAGCTTRGGATAATCCTTCCACCACCGGCAAACCGTGGGGGTGTCTCACCTTGGCCTGRGGAACCTTGGTGAAGCCATACTCCTCATAGGCAATGAGGGAATTCTTCATGGTGTTCACTGTGAAGCCGTAGAAGGAGGTCTTGGTGCCAACATCTTCCTCAAAGCCTTTGATTACAGCTCCATTGAGCCTGTGGAGAACCCCAGGTGTCTAAGGCTGTGCCCACRCTGCCCCTATGGGCAGGAGGTTCCTGCATGACTGCAGCTCATCCTGGTTAGACCACCACGAGACAGGCACCGGAATGTGTTGCTGGTGGAGGGTGGGACCTCAGTGCAATGGGGTGGACCCAGCARTGGGGTCCCCAATGCAATGGGGTGSACCCCAGCAATGACAGTCATTGCTGCAAGGCCAGGAGAAGATCATCTCTTTGCACCTGGGGTCTGGGGGGGGAAGATCATCTCTTTGCACTTGGGGTCTGGSTTGCTCCCAGCCTCCTCCCGCCCGGCCACGGGCCCCAAGGAGCCACCAGAGCAGCCCTACCTGAACACCAGGTCGTGGGCGTCGATGCCGCGGCCCTGGCGCGAGCCGTTGAGGATGCCCCCGTTGCCCACCACGGCGCAGCGCACGCAGCCCCCGGCGAAGGCGGCTCTGTCGAAGAGGTGCCTGTTGGAGGAGGTGTTGAGGAGCCGCAGCGCGCCGCCCACCGCTGCAACGAAGCGGGACAGAGCTGGTCAGCGGAGATTAGGCGGGGATTAGCGGGGAGAGGAGCAAGCGGGCGTGTTGCATGAGCAGCGGGCGGGCAAGCTTGCACAGGACATGTGCAAGCAGCGCACAAGAAGGTCCTGCTCCTCTTCACGTACAAAAGGGGACCACAAGGTAGGATGGACAGATACGAGCTTGAAAGTGCTTTTCTAGCCCCCAGAAAGGCTGAATCCTCCCTCAACAGTCACTTGATAGACCCTCCTCCACCCTGGTCCTGCCTTGGCTTTGGCGCTTCCGTTGCAAGCTGGCTCTGGACAGCATCTGCGCTGAYGCAGTGCTAGGCACCGGGACGCGTCCGGAGCGCTCCCGGCCCGGCCCCATGGGTACTGGAGCCTTTTCCCCTCCTGACAATGGCTCCTTGCAGCCGCTGCTGCCCCCGGCAGCTGCCCCACGCTTCCCTCCGCCCCTCACAATCCAGGGATTGAAGCCGGCAGCCACCGGAGCAGCACGGAGGAGGTTTGGGGCAGGAAGGGCAACAATCTCCATGCGTGACAATGGAGAGGGTTGTCCCAGGTCTTCCGCGCCCCGGTTCATAACCACGCGGACACTGAGCCCTTTATGCGGGGGAAATGTCACAAGACGCGACRAGCGGCGCCTGCAAAGTCACCCGCTCCGCGCTGCTCCCTGGCAGGCGAGTGGGAGGACAGCAGGGTCCCCACTTTCCTTCCAGGGTTTCTCCACCCTCCCTGTAGTTTGGGTCCCTTCTGGGCTCCCCCATTCCCGTGGGGTGCCACTCTGGCTCYGGTACCTGCAGGGGACAAGCCTTGCCAGCCGTAGGGGACATGTCGCGCTCTCAGCCGCTCCCAGGTCCCCTCGCTCAAGTGCTCGTCCCACATCAGCACCGGCACGTCGAAGCGGAAGAGCTGCCCAAACTTGGGATCTGCCTCCACTTGGGCCACCACGGAGCGGGAACAAGCGCTGGGCTGGAAGGGAGAGAAGACACAAGAAGGAAGAGAGGACAAGAGGGATGGCAACGCTCCTCACCCGTGCTGCTGGCTTGCTAGGTCACTCCCTCGTGCCTCAGTTTCTCCAGCTGCAGAACACTCTTGGTGCCCTCCTATCAGGGCCGGGAGGCTCAGGGCTTGTAAAACACTTGGGGAGCACAAGCCACTTGGAGTCAGCACAACCTCTAGGGTCCTTTTCATGCTAAGGGGCCTCCAGACATAGTCGGCGACTCCGGCATTTCTTTGCCACCCCCAGCACCTATGTTTTGCTTTGCTTTGCACTGACCCACTTGTGATTTCCTTGCAGTGACGCAAAGCAGCGAGGCTCCTCCAGATGTTATCCTAGCAAAATCTTCCCCGGAAAGCACCACAGGAGCCAGCAGGGCCGGACCCAGCTCTGCGAGCGCCGTGGCCGGGCCTGCAGCCACCCAGGCAGGGATCTTGAACCAAGCGAACTCGGCACRGCGAAGGCGCTGGACGCTAAGAGCATTTTGCTAATTATTACCTGGCCTTTGGCGCGCTTGGGCTTCAGCAGCTCGGGGGCAGATTTCAAGGACTTCTCTCTGGAAGCGGGGGGAAAAAAAACACATAACAGAGGTAAAAACCTGTCCCAGGGGAATGGGGGACCCCAAATGYCACGTTGGAGGTGGCAGGTTGCGCCTCCCGCCATGCCCGGGACAGGGACCGGAGCAGCACCCTGAGCCCCGCTTACCTCTCCAGGGCACCGTCCTGCCTCCAGGCGCGGCTCGCCGGCCGGCTCGGGGCGCCCACGGGAGCCAGGAGCAGCGGCTCCGGCCGCAGCAGGCTGCAACAAGAGGGTGGCAGGGGCTGAGCGGTGCAGGTGACACCGGAGCGGAGCCGCCCGTACGCGGATCCCTTGGTTTGCAAGGGGCGCGAGTGCCTGCAGCGGCTCCGCTTCCCAACCCTCCCTAGGGATTCCCTCGTCCGGGGCCCCCAGCCGCTGCACAGACCAAGAGGCTTTTTTGGCACTGGGTCACTTGGAAGTTCTGGTTCCATGTCCCCAGGTGCTGGTGGAAAAAGGCTTCTGAGCGGCGTGAAGTGGGGGACATTGGGACATGTCCCAGTCAGACCCGGGATGCAGGATGGCCTCATCCCTGAAGGATTCCACATTTTTCCTCTTTCCTCAAGCTCAGTGTCCCTGACACCCTGAGCTCTCAGCCTGGCTCCAGCCTCCTCAGGAGGAGCCTCTTCAGCTCGGCCTCCACCTGGTACCAGCTCAGGACCACGTGGGCTCCTCAGCACCTTCCTGCTGCTCCAGGGTGGGTTTTATCCCGAGGCTGACTCGGGTTGAGACTTGGGCACATGGTGCCCTTGGCTGCAAGGAAGCTTTTAGTGGGAAAAGCAACTGAAAGTCAGACTCTGGTAGCCAAACTGATCTGTTTTCCTTCCCGAGCGCCCTGCGAGGCTCATTTGCTGCTTCGCTGCGATGTGATGGGGAAGGCGAAAGGAAAATGAGCGGAGAGAGGGGCTGAGCCTGCAGGAACAGCCCGGCTCAGAGCAGAGCAGCTCCGTGAGCACCTGGAAAGCTCTTGTGAGCCCACTTCTCCCCAAATATCTCATGCACAGGGAAGCAGCTGAGCCCGTGCTGCTTTCCGAGCAGCGACGATGACGCTGGGGCACTGGAARGTGGAAAAAAGCCCCGTGTCCCACTGGAAGGACACTGGAAGGTGGCAAAAAGCTGCTTCCCACCCGGCTCCATGAGCAGAGATGGGCGCAGGCGGCGCTGACGTTGGACRGGCACCGCGGCCCAGCCGGGTGCCTGACGCTTGCTCATAGTTTGCTCTGGCAGGCGCCCGGGCGCAGGATTTCAGCTGATAAAGCCCGGCCAGCGTCTGCCCGGCCAGGGGTTTGCGGCACCGGCGCTGCTGCGGTGACGTCCTCGCGGGGCTGTGCCAGATGCCACCGCCGCTGTCCCCGCGGCGAGGCGAGCGGCGGAGCATCGAGCGCCACGGTCGGTGGGCTCCCAAGAGGAGCAGCCTCCGCAGGGGCCGGAGCGGCCGCGGGCAGCGCCGGCRGCACCCGCGAGCRCAGCGCCTGGGCGCGTTCCCCGCTCCGGGGAGCGCTGAGCAAACGTGACGTCCCCAGCACGCGGCCACCCCCGGCTTCCTGAAGATAACAGTGTTTGAGAGCGCGCACTGCGGTGCTCTATCTTGGGCAAACACTCCCGGGCCCGGCAAGCTCCGCTGCGGCCGCCGCGGCGCAAACAGGGCCGCTCGCTCGGCCCGAGGGCGCCCGGCACCCGGCGCTGCAGGGATGAGAAGAGGCCGCTTCGGCCCCGGCATCAGTGGGAAGCCCCGTTCCTGAGCCCTTCCAGCTGCGACTCGGCCGCTGGGACCCGCCGTAGCCACCCCTTGCTGGGAACAAGCGTCCGCAGCGGGAGCACGTTTTATCTATGGGAAATGCTGAACACCCAAATTGCCTTTGCAGATACGGCCCGTATCAGCGGCCAAGGCAGATACAGACTGATTTCCAGCTTGGGACAGACAAGCAGAAACAACAGGTTGATGCATTCGCGCGTACCAGGAGGGAGGGAGAACAAGGCAAGTTTAGGTTAAAGTCAGGGGAGAAATGCCCCAAAGGACCCAGGGCTCATGTGAGCTCGCACCCACCCTGCTGCACCTCCTGTCCCCCTTCCCTGTCCCGGGTTTGCAGGGCCTGGCATCCCCACAGCTCAGGGAGGGCTGTGCTTCCAGCGCGGAGGCAGGGGCTGTGGTTGGGATATCCCCCTGGCTCCGCTTTGCCCCTGAGCATTGCACGGAGCGGCTAACTCCGCTGCAGCCCCAGCTGGGGTGGCCGTGAGGGCCCCGCTGCTCCCCGGGGCTGCGGCTTCTGCTCGCACCGTCCTGGGGGAGAGAGCGGGGACCTCTGCGCTGCGTGGAGCAGGCAGACTTCCCAGGTGGGCAACGGCAGCACCTCTCCTCCTCTATCCCACCTCTCCTCTCCTCCTCTATCCCACCTCTCCTCTCCTCCTCTATCCCACCTCTCCTCTCCTCCTCTATCCCACCTCTCCTCTCCTCCTCTATCCCAGACATCCCCAGTGTGTCCCAGCACTTGCAGCCCTGCAGGACCCGCTCTGGTGCCAGCAATGACCTGCAGCCCCTCTGCCAGGCACATGGATAGCCGGGCTCGGTGCCAGCTGCCAGGACCTGCTCCAGTGGCAGGGCAGGGACATGGAGCACAGTGTGGGGACATGGAGCACAACCTGGGGACATGGAGCACTCGTGGCCACCCTTGAAGGGGAGGAGGACGGTGCAGCAGGCACCCTCCCCTGCACCCCGGCTCCCTCGCACTGGGAAGGGGCCCAAGGAGGTGGCAGAGGAGGAGGTGCAAGTGCCAGAGCCTGGGGCTTGCCCTGGGATTTTGCCAGCGGCAGCGGGGCAAAATCYACAGGTCAGTGGGAAGGGCTGGGGACCAGCCTGGCCCTGCCACATTGCTGCTGCGCTCAGCGCTGCTGCAGTGGGGTGAAGGGGGGGGACACTCTCCCACACCCGGGGCAAATCAGCCCCCCTGAATCCAGGACCAGCCTAGCAGGGACCTGCTGCTCCTGCCAAGGCTCCCAGCCGCAACTGTGGGAAGCAGGGTCAATCCCGCTGGGTTCGGAGCACCCCCAGCCCTGCCTGGCCCAGAGATGCCCTCGGCGTGTGGGCAGACCCTGTGCCAGGCCCCGCAGCCCCTGGTCCCGCTCGGGCCCCCTGGGGCACAGTGGGGGCCATGGGGCAGCCTGGCAGCACGGGGGTGCAGGGACACCCTGCCTTGGGGGGCAGCACCCGCTGCCATCGCACCCCTACAACACGGCAGCAGTTAACCAGCAAGCTAACCAACTGGTTAACCAGCAGGAAGGCGCCAGCGGGGGGACCCCAGAGCCTCCCCCCGTGCCSGGGTGCAGTGTCGCTTCCCCCACGGACCCCTCGTCTCCACGTGCCCCCTTACCTGGCCAGGAGCCTCTGCCCGCCGGGGGCCTCCACCGCCGCGTAGTAGTGGCCGTAAAGGAGCAGCGAGGAGGTGAGCGCGGCCAGGAGCACGAGGCAGAGGCGGCTCCAGCGCGGGGACCCCATGGGGGCACCGCGAGCGCCCTCCGCGGCGCCCGCTCCCTCCCGCCGCGCCTCGGAGCCGCCCGGGATGTTCCCGCGGGAGGGAGGCAGGGAGGCTGCGCCGGGGGAGGAGGCACCGGGCTGACTGGTTCAGGCTTGCGGGGAGAAAAAAAGCACTTTTGAGCTGCCTTTTTTTTTTTTTTTTTTTTTTTTTTTTTTTTCTCTCTTTTTGGCGCCGCTCTGGGCGTTAAACATTTACTCGGGGCTGCAGGGAAATCCACTTTTTTTGTTGTTGGTTTATTTTCGGTTCCCGCCCCCGCTCGTCGGGACTTTTGCTTTGAAACCCTGCGCCCGATCAAGCCGCGGCCCCCGCGGGGTCCCGCCGGGCTCGGGGGCACCGAGCGGGAGCCGCGGGTGCGGGGCGATGCCCCGGACCCCCCCGCAGCCCCTGCCCGGGCGGCCACACGGAGCAAAGCGGCTCTGAAGGTGCAGGGGGGCTCCCCGCGATTCCTTCYCATGTGTCCCAAGTGGCAGCGCTTCCCTTTCTCACCTCAAAACGGTGGTTCGTGATCGATTTCATTGCCACTGATCTAGCGGAAAAGCGACCCGGGAGCCTAGCGAGAACGCGCATCCAAGGGGATTGTACATCAGAGCAAAGGGAGCCCCAAAACTCAGCTCCAAGCAGGCCCCGGCTCCATCCCCGAGCCCCGGACACCCTCCCTGCCCAGATCCGCAGCAAGAGGATCTGCTCACGGGGCTGTTCGCAGCACCCGGGGTGCCCAAGGGCACTTCTTGGCCCTCCCTTCCCAACACATCTCAGCGCTAAGGAGCCACATGCTCCCCGCAAGGCTTCAGTCCCCACCTGCCCAGCTCAGTTTTCAATGCTACTAACAATTCAAAGAAAAATGGGAGAAAAAAAAAAAAAGAAAGAGGGCAGGTTTGGTGTCCATTTCGCAACGTTTTTTCCCCTCCAAATCCCCTCCTCGCCGACAGTCCCTCATTTCATTTTCCGAGTTAGTATCAGACTGGTAAACGAGAAGAACTGGAAGTTCCTGCAGGCTCCCAGGGCTGCGATTGGAGCCCGAGRGCAGAGGGGACAGTGCGGCCCCAGCCCTGTCCCTGCAAAAGGGGCTGTTGGGCCCAGAGAACATCCCAGTGTCAGCGCTGGGAACACATTTATGGGGATGATACAAACACTATTGAGAGCCAGCCTCCATCCATTTGCCAAGGGGGATGGAGGAGCTGTTTTTTTGAAGTCCTTCCCATCTCTGTTTATGCCATCTAAGTGTTTTTTCACTCATGTTTTACAAGCAAAACGGAGACACGCAGTTCTGCATCTGCTTTACTTCTTTTATGCTAGGCTGCATTTTGGCCCATGCCTCAAAATTAAGCAGTACTTATTTAGGGAGTTAAGTAAGTGTGAAAAACTTTTAAAACAATAGTTGCCAAATAAAGATTAGGGGAAAAAAAAAGAACACACAGGAATTATAATGAAAACCAACAAGCATCATTTTGAGACTGGGCTTTTCATTCCCCTAATTTCTTCCTGGAACCCAAATGCGAGACGGCCCCAGCGCTAGAGACAGTGAGAGGGAAATCAGAACGTTTTGCACCGCCCGGCTCTCAGCCATGGCCTGGTGGAAGGAAGTCTCAGGGGATTCACCACAATGGAGAAATCCCTTTCGGAAGGTCCCCGTGAGGATTTATACACGTTTGGCCAGCAGAAACTGGAGGTGCATTTAGGGAAGTGCCAAAAACCCTGCTCAGGGGAAACTTGCTGAGAAATCCGAGTCTGCGCTTACKCTGTGTTGCTGCAGGGGGGCAGAACGCGGGGCCATATGGAGACGAGGCCGCTGCGTCAGGAAAATCCCATCAGCAGATGTCCCGGGAGGGGGACGTGCAGCCTCTTCCTGATGGGGACCTGGGAGGGCAGCAGGGAACGCGGCTGGGCCAAAGCGCCTCGTGCCACGTCCCCCATCCCGAGGACTGCGGGCTGGGGCCCTGCCCTGGTTCTCGGGATGGGGGACGTGGCCGAGGCTGCTGTGCTGCCTTGGGATATTCCCAGACCTGGGACAGCCCCTGAGCGCCATGTCCAGCACGGGAAGGGCTTGGGCAGCACAAAAAGCGGCCACCAGCAGCCCAGGAATGGAGCAAGCGCTGGTTTCCCTCGGGCTGCGCTGATGTCCAGCCCGCTGTCTTCCCTTCCCTGCAGTAAAGGCAGGAGGCTGCAAGAGCAGCTGGGCTCCCGTCCCAGGCCCTGGTGTCCCCACGAGGGGATCACTCCCTCTGCATGTGTGACCTYGGGTCCTAATCTGGTATGTGAGGGACTGCCAAGCTCCACCAGGCCCAGACAGAGGAACCAGCTCCTGCCTCTATCCCATCCAGGCACAGAACACAGCTGAGAAGTGCCCCATATCATCTCCTTTTCAGGATGGGGTTCAGGTGTCACAGAATCACAGAAYGGTTGGGGTTGGAAGGGACCTCTAGAGATCATCTAGTCCAAACCCTTCTCCAGCAGGGACTCCCGGAGCATGTGGCACAGGGCGGMATCCAGGCGGGTTTTGAAGACCTCCAGAGAAGGAGGCTCCACAACCTSCCTGGGCAGCCTGTGCCAGGGCTCYGGCACCCYCACACCAAAAAGTTTCTCCTCACCTGGAGAYGGAACTGCCTGTGTTCCAACTCACACCCATCTCCCCTTGTCCTTTCACTGGCCACCACCGAGAAGAGCTTGGCCCCTTCCTCCCTACATTCCCCCTTCATGAACTTACATGTGTTCATCAGATSCCCTCTCAGCCTTCTCTTCTCCAGATGAAACAGGCCCAGCTCAGTCTCTCCTCGCTCTCCTGTGTCTTGCAGCCTCCAGGACAGCAGCACCCGGACCTGCATCGCGTGCCTGGCGGGAGGACACGGGCCCCAGTGACCGCTGCGCCTTGGGGAGCTGTTTGCGTGCAGGAACCCGCACCCCTTACCGCATTCTCCCTCTGTTCTCAACAGCGTCTCTGCTCCGCATGGATTGYGCTGCTGCCACATCCCTTTACCCAAGGGGAAAGGAGCCCAGTCCCACACACTGGGTGTAGCAGGGGACGTTTCCCCAGTGCCCCTGTGCACGAGGGGCTGGCTCCAAACCTCTCTCGCCTCTGTGACTGGAACTACAGGGATGGCTCCGGGGAGCAGGCGAGCGCAGGGAAGCTGGGTGGCCATTGCCAGCCCCATCCTGGTCACCTTGCTGCTCTTGGTTTCCTGCCTGGGAAAGAGGAACAGGAGTGACAGCTGGATCTGCTGTCCCCACCGCGGCACAGGCTGTGCTTGGAGCTGGGTGTGCAGTTCGTGCAGCAACGCCCTCCCTGCACCCCGCAGCATCCAGGCTCTGCCTTGGAGCTTTGCCACCGCTAAGAGGTACCCAGGGCCCCTGGACACGTCCCCAAGAGGTCTGCAGGGACGTTGGCAACAAGATGGGTGAAGAGTGCAGCCCCAAGGCACTACATCCTTGTCCCCGAGCCCAACAAGCCCCCAGGCTGCTTCCTTCTCCAATGGGCTACGTGCCTGAGCACACACAGTTGGACACTGTAGCTGCCTCTGCAGGGGCAGGGCAGCAGTCACGCCACGGAAAAGGAAGCGGCAGAAACCAAACAGGAGAGTCAGAGCTCTGCCAAGACCACGGCCCCTGCAAGACTTCCCAGGTGAACGGTGGATTTCTGTCTCCCAGCCCAGCAGGGAATATTTAAGGGCAAATAATTCTTGGGGACACCAGGGAAGAGTCRGGCAGAGCTGCAGTAATGGATAAGGGGTACTCACCCAGTAGCTTCCCAAAAAAGGTAGAGATCTCCCTACAGCAGAGATCAGCAGCTCCTGGGAATGCTGAAGCAGAGATTAGAGCATCCCCAGATCAGAGGTTCAGCATCCTGGCTTAAAAGCAGCAGGTTCCTGGAGCTCCTGGCTGGCAGTGGAGGAAGGCACTGGTGGTGGATACAGCACTGGGGGGACCTTGTCTCCACGGAGCTGCTGTCGCTTCAAGACATCTCTCTGGACACCGGGACTGGTCCTGCCATGTGCCCCTCACCCATGCCGCCCTTGGCACTGTGCAGCACGGCACAAGATGAGGCCATCCCCTTGCAGCACGTTGCTCCACCTGGTTACTGCTGTCCTTGTCCTTGCTTTGCCGTGAGCCCGTGCAAGGTGCAGGAACCCGCGCCGTGCTCCTCCTGCACGAACCCGCCGGGCAGGGTCCCGCGCCCCCATCCACGGAGCGGCTCTTGGGAACATCCAGCAGCAAAGGGGGCTCTCACGGGGCCAAACCTCTCCCATGCAAGTCCCCCTGCATCCCAAGGAGCTCCCAGTTCCCAAGCACATTAGGCCATTACAAACAGTGCTGGGATGAGAGCACAGCACCAGCCTCCAGCTCTTGGCCATGCACCACAGGTGGCCTTGGAGCCATTAGGGAGCCGCTGGCACAGCCAGTGCCAGACCTGGATGGACAGACACAGCGCCAGTGCCTGGACAAGAGCTGGTCACCAGCTGCCACCTGGTGGCACTGGGACAATGCTGCTGGGCTGCCAAGTGCAGGGACCCACCTGGGAACGTTTGGGGTGGCCGGGGACCACGTCCTCATCACTGTCCCCAGCGCGGCTGCACCAGGAGGCTGCGGCTGGTCTGGCAGTGCCGCTTCCCGAGGACGGACACGCGCAGGGGATTCACCCCACACGCACCCCAAGGAGCTCTGTCCCCCACAAACCTGTCTGTGAGTTGTGCCAGGGTTGGCTGGGGAGCCTTCTCTACAAACCCTCTCGACTTATCTCCAATAACTAAGAAGCATCAAACCCTCCGCTGCGCTGACTCCAGCCTCAGCGGGCAGCTCGGAGGGGAAGGGGTTCCTGGGAGCTTCCCAGGGAAGGTTCCTTCCCCACAACCCTGGGAAGCTTCAGCTATACAGAAGAGCTGGGGGAAGCCACGGGCTCAGGAGCACTAGCCCATGCCCCAGGCTGCTCTCCTGGCCACCACGCTGGCCCTGCACGGTGGGGCTCAGCACCGGCCCCATCCCTCTTCCCGGAGGAGAGGGAGACAAAAGAGGACGAGGGGGAAGGGGAGGAGTGAGGACAAACTTCTTGCGACTTCTCAGGAAGAGAAAAGCCCCATTCAGCAGGGAAGAATACGTGTGTGGGGCGATCCCCTAGCAACCCGCTGCAATTTGGCACGGCCGGGCTGCGCGGGCAGGACAAAAGCTGCGCCCAGAGCCCCGAGCCGGCGCCAGCGTCGCKCTGGGAAAGGCAGGACCTGGGGGATGCAGGACAGCAGCCACACGTGCCAGCGCCCAAAGCTCCATCGGCACCGGGACTTTGTCCTGGGCCAGCTCTCGAGGGTGACCAGGCTCCAGTGGGTCCCTGGGGACACCACTGCCACCAGACAAAACTAGGACAAAGGAAAAGCCCTTGCAGCCAAGGCGGGTGCACTGGGACCAGAGGGTTAAGGGGTGGTCTGGCCCCAGCCCAGAACCTGCCCAACCCCAGGAGAGACCCAGGGCTTGCCTGGACACCGCGAGTGTCATGGGAAAGACATCTAGCCCTGAGGGCAGTCGCCTCCAGCATCTGATAGACTCGGAAAGCAGTCACCAGGCCAAGGACAGGCGTGCCAGGTATTTACCTGCTTTCTCAGGGAGGTTTAGATCTGATCTCCGTCCTGCCCTAGCAAGGTGGACAACTCCAGACAGCCCAGGTGTATCCACACAAGCTGCAGAGCACCACACACGAGCAGGACACATTTCCATGAACCCTCCCTAACCTGCTCATTCCTCTCCCTCCCTCTCTTGGCTCCATCCCCCTCTGCAGCAGCATCGGAGCAACTGTTTTGGACACGAACTAAACAACCACATCCCACAGGGCTGCAGCGAAAACCAGCTCAGCCAAAGCAGTGCCGTTTATTTTGTTTGCAAAACCCCACTCGTAAGGAAACACGTTGCAGACTGGCTGGCCGCAGCCAGGCCTCTCACGCTCCGTGTGACAGGGACAGGCACTCGGGCCCGCAGCAAGGACACAGCACCCATCCCTGGCCTTGGAGAGCTCATGGATCTCCCAGGAAAAAGGCGGGAGCCGAGCAAGCCAAGGCCCAGCTCGGCACCGACTGGGCGCCCCGGGACTGCAGCCCTGTGCTGCCGTGTCCTGCTGCCCCCAGAGCCAGCGGCACTGGAGCAGCTGGGGAGCCTTGTGCACCATGGAGAGCATTTCCTGCCTGGATGCCACCCCGTGCTCTGGGTGTCCCTCCTGGAGCASGGATGATCTCCAGAGGTYCCTTCCAACCTCAACCATCCTGGGATTCTGTGATTTACCTTCCCGTTTACTGTTGGCGAGCTGGGCTCAGGGCAGCAAATCAGACCCATCACAATGCTCCTTCTGTAGCGTCACGAAAACAACTTGGTGAGAAGCAGGATAAGATTCATCCTGTCCTATCAAGCATCCGGAAGCGTCCAGATCCTTTTTATCAGAGGGCAGTAGAGTCAGAGGAGCACCTCAGCCAAGCCATCCCCTTGGGACAGGATCCGTAACATCCATCTCTGTCCAYTGGCTGCAGAGGGAGTTTGCTTAGATGAGACACCCAGCCCTGAGATGGGCTCCGTTAAGGGAGAGGAACCCAGAACAGAAAAGCAGGTCCCAGATGGAGGAGAGGAGCACCTTGTTGCAAAGAGGGTAAACTTGGATGAAGATGCAGGAGACTGGACCAACTGCTACTCAGATCCATTCTGAATTCCTCCATTCCAAAACCAGAGCCTACAAGCATCCACAATGGGTCTTAAAACAGAGTCAGATGGGGACGTCTTTGCTGACCTGCTGCATTTGTTGGCTGTTCTTTTCCTGACCAGCRGCACTTCCATTATTGTGGAAATATCACAAAGCAGGTATCCAAAGCATCTTTGTACAGATGAAAATGTACCTTGTAGTCCAGAGCTAAGCCTAGCTCTAGAAATACTCCTCCTTTTCCCCTGAAGTGTTGCTGAGATATCCCAAGCAATGGCACTTGAGACACAATCAGGATCTCTGGTAGAGTTTCATGATATTCTCATCGTGGAGCTTTTTCCACACTTCCTTTTCCAGGTTGAAGTCATGGTTGATGTAGAAGATCAGACGTTTCCAATCCTTATCATAATAGTGATCTGAATATTTCTGGTGACCCTCTGTGATGTAGCCATAGGCACTCACCTGGGAAAGACAGAGGACTCAGTTTGGAGAGCTACAAAGGATGGAAGGTGTTTAGTATAATACATAACATYGTTCCCAGCTGGGGAGGGACACAGGACAGGGCTGCCTCACAGTGACTCTACATGGGGGTCCCCATCAATCAGACTGCAAATGACAGCTCCAGAGGGGTTCACCTCCCCTCAAACTACCACCTTGGAGCAAAGGCAGCTCTGAAGTTACAGGAGGCATCACAGGCTTATGTGATTGATGCTGGGGTCATTTTTCTTGCCCTCAATTCCCTCCTCTAGAGCTTGCAAGAACCCCTCTGTCCTCAAGGCAGATGGTGGCTGAGGTCAGTGCTGCCCATTTTCTACCCTATTATTCTAGCTCCTCTTCTAGACAGTTCTGTGCACGTAATAATCCTCATGTCCTTACCTTGTCACAGAGATGAAGGGCAGTAAGCAGCAGGAAGGCCCCCGTTGTGGGTCTGTAGAGCCGCCAGTAGGACTTTTTCAGATTTTGGGATTTCAAAAACCTGCAGCGGGAGAAGAAAATGAGAAGCAGGTGCTGGGTGTAGTGGTTAAAACCTGCCCAGCTGCGCCCTGTGTGCCACCTCTGTCCTTGCTGCAGCATGTGGCCATGCTGGGCATTTCAAACATGCTATTGGCAGCAATTCTGCCACTGAAGCTGGTCCAGGTATGAGCTAGAACATCAGCACATCTCCCTCTCATTCTTCTTGTTGCTGGACTCAAGCCCTGAATCACTAAAAGCTCCAGTCGTGCTCCCAACTTGCTCCCCAGGGAGCACCTGCAGGTCTGTGCTGATCCATCAAGCTCCAGACATCAGCAGTGCGCAGCCAACTGGGTGCTGCAGGATCACTGCACAGTCTGGGAAGAGATGCAGCCCTGGAGTCACATCTAGTGCACTGAGGACAGTGTGTCCAACACCCATGTATCCAGGAGTGTGTATGTTGCAGGGGTGGTGTAAAGAGGTGGTGGATAAATGGATCTATTGCGTGAAAGGTTGTTGTCGCATCTCTCCTTTACCTTGCTGTATAGGAGTGGCTTTGGAGCCCCTTTGTGTGTCCTTATCATTATCCATTATGCAAGGAAATAAAAAAAAGGCTTATGTAGGAAGGCACAGAGTAAGAGCAAAAAAAAAAAAAAAAACATTGTCAGGAATTGTGATGTTTTGCACCAGTGGTTGTTAAAAAGGTAGGATTCCAAATCAGGAGAAAATGAATAAATAAAAATAATAAAAAGGAACCCTCTTTGCCTGGGAAGGGACCAAAGTCAGAGAGATGGCAGAACACCCAGGTAAGCATGAGCCATCTGGCACTGCATTTGCCTTCTCTCAGAGAAAAACATAACTCAGCCCTCAAGGAGACTCAAGAGCAAACGCAGCCAAAGTGGAGCACAACAGGAGCTCTTCTTGCTGCAGCTCAATCATCTGTGGCCCATGCTTGCCAGATCTTTCAGTGGCAGTGTCTAGAAGACTTGTAAAAAAAGATTAGAGATGCAAAGAGCAGCCAGAACARGGGAGTGGGATATTGAAGATGTGGCTATTCTCACGCTTACAGGCACAAACAGCTTGAGTTGAAGAATGTGAGAAGAGGGAGGTATAACAGAGCCTTCCTCCAAGGTACTGAGCTGTGTAAAGCACAAATGGTTGTCTTGACATAGATGAGCTATTCTGGTGCATCAGCAACACTGCCCATCCAGAACCACCACAYGCCCAGGACATCTTTTCTGTGCAGAAAGACAAACTTGGAGCTGTTGCTTCTCTAGCTCACAGATGCCAGAGGGTAATATCCTGCTCCAGGCAGAGCTCTTTGCCTTGCTAACACCCCACTTCAGTGCCACAGAACATTTTCATTGACTGTACACAGGTAGATCTCACCCGCAAACTCTTGCTGTAGGCAAACTGCAGTTTTGAGGGAGCAAGTTGGAAAGATAAAGTCCAGAGACATAGAGAGAAGGTACATCCAGGAGAGAAAATAAATATATAAATAAATAGAGCCCCTTAGAGCAGATARCTCCCTGCTCACCTGTTTTTCATATATCTGAGAAAATCAGGGTGAATCACCAGGTATTTGTCCAGCTTGAAATCTTCATCAAATCTCTCTCGGGGCCTTTGCCTAAAGACAGGAATGGAGACACTCAGCACAAGTGASAAGAGAAACATAAATGGTGTTAAGTTATTCTGCAGCATTTCCCAGGTGAAGACAGAACTCTGTGTGCTTTACAGGGGAAGAGATGAGGAAAGAGAGGGAAGAGCAGAGCAATATCACTTAGGATCATCAGAGTACGTGCATCAAGTACAGACACCAACCAAACAGTAGCATGTGTTCCGCCCAGAGGACCACAGAGATTTCTCCAAGCACAGACTGCTACTCAAACCACTGAAACCAGCTCCTTTTGGAAAGGTGGTGTGTCGGCCCAGGTAGTGCTCAGAGCTGGGAAGCAAATGCAGTATCAAAATAGATCTGCAAGTGAAGGAGGTTTTAACCTCACTTTATCCTGTCTTACATCTCAGCAAGGCTGAGGCTGGAAGAGGCACATGGCTCAAAGAGAGCACAGGGGAATGCTCTGCAATCAAGGGCACAGAGATRGGCCCGATTTGTTTTACCCGTAGTGATTCAGGACTCCTTTCTTGGTTTCTCCGTTGACCAGAAGAGCCTTCAGCCACTCGTAGTCTCTAGCACCCTCCAGGAAGTGAATGTATCTGACATGCTGGGAAAAAAAGCAAGGGTTAACGAACAGCATAAAAAAAATCCTTAAAAAAAAACAAAAAGCAAGCAGGTATCTATGCTCATCAAATGTTGGACACAGATCTATTGGTCCATAGCTTTTAACTATTATATATAAGCAGAATGGAGCTAACATTTGGTATGTGGCTGCTTTACAGAGCAAAAGGCCAGAGCAGGACTTGAGCCTACCTGCTTGCTCTCAAGCCAAATTGATGGAGGTTCCTCCACAACAGGTAATATCAAGGTGTTACATGGGCCGCACGGCTCTTCATCAAGGGAAATTCAGAACCAACCACCACAAAGAGCAGCCTGTCAAAGCTGAGCACATGTACAACATGGACCTSACTTACTTTTCCCCTAGGAATCTTGCTGAACCCCCTATGATTCAAGACCAGGAGAGAGGACACCAGGGAGTACGCTGTGAATCCATAAAATGAGGTTTTTGTTCCGACATCTTTTTCGTAACCCTTGATTACGGCCCCGCTCACCCTGAGAGAGGAGATCAAACAGAGGGGTGGAGTTCAGAGATGATCAGGTTAAATCCTGATGTTCATATTTATAAAAAAAACCCCACTAGCATTAGTCCAGAAAAAAAAAGGCAGATTTGACCCATTTTGGGCAACACTTCAGCTGTGGAAGAGCTGCTTCCCTCTGCTTTGGGGTGGCTTTTCATGGCTCATCTCCAAWCCCAGACAGATTCTTCTCTGCTGTTCAGGAATCTTCCAATACCATTTTGGTTTGATTTCTCCTGTCTGTTCTCCTGATTCTGTCATTTTGCCTTCTCCTGTCATTTTGACACTTGGGAGGCAATGCAATACTAGGAGAGACAGTTACTCAGCCACAACCACCCTGCTAGCTGGCTTTCTTGTAAGAGTGAAAGCAGTAAAGAGTCTGTCTTACCGGAAGACATAGTCATGGGAGTCAATCTCCTGGCCCATGCCGGAGTTATTCAGAATTCCTCCATTCCCCACAACGGCGCAGCTGATACAGCTTGGCAGATTGCTGCTGCGGTTGGCCAGGAGAAGCTGCTGGTGAGGGTTTGGAGGCAGCAAGGACATGACCTCCTTCACCACTGCAAAGCAAACACAGTCAAGTGTCAGCATCAAGAGCCTGGAAACACGCATGGAAAACTGCAGCTACCACCATGGGATCCGTTTAGGCTTCCAACTGTGGCTGGAAGATGCTGCAAACCTCCAGCTACTTGCCACTGGGTTGCTGCCAGGAGTCTGGTGGCCCCATCTGAATATGCCTTGAGGTACTCACAGGAGTAATTCAGCTCCATGAAGCCATATGGGGGTGCAAAATGCTCCAGGCGGTTCCACTCGCTATCACTGAAGTATCTCCTATCTGTGAAAATCGTGATGTTGGGCAGGAAAAGATCTCGCAGCCAGGCAGATTTGGCAACTTTGGCCCTCACCGAGTCAGAGCAGGTCTTGAAGAACAAAACAAAATGATAAGAGCTGATTAGCAGTAGGCTGTCAAACTCGACCGAGCGTCAGTGCGCGCCCATGTGTGAGGGCACAGAAGAGAGAAACTCCAGTTGTACCTCAGCCATCCTCAACATCATCATCACTGTGAACGTGAGGCACATGCTCAGAATCACATCAACAAACAGCCAACAGAAAACCACCCATGAGGAAGTCAAGGTGATTCCCGGTTTCTAAGGATTTATTTTTTCAAGACAACAAGCCTGTGACGCTCTCACCAAATCACTTTTATTGGTTTTAGGCCTCATTTTGACGCAGCTCAATAGCTGTCATCAGCCTCACCCAAACATACCACATGAGGCCAGTGTCCCCTGTCAGCAATGCACCTCACACGGCCCTGGCCTCGGAGAGCTGAGCATATTCAAAAACACAGTGAGGAATGTGTGGGATCAGATGACTGTTATAATCATCTTTARAGATAAGAAAAAGCATTTAAACAACTTGCTCAAGGTCAAAGAGGAAACAGGGAGATGTGCAGCTGGGATGGGAATCCAAGCCTGTTTGCTCTCAGTAACTAGTGTGGCCATAGTACAGCCAACATGAGGAGATGGAGAGCAGACCACCTCATGGTCCTAGACCTCCACATGTCCTACCCAGTCAACTAGAGACAGTCACTAGAACTAATATAATTAACTACCAAGTGGGCTACACAAGAAACCTTTAAATCTGTGGCTGTACAAGTGTCAGACCATATCATCTGAAAGGCTTTGACAGGTCAGACCACCTCATCTGCAATTKCCATCTTCACCTATACCAAAATATTTGTCCCACGTGGAGTGGGTCCTCAGTTGTTTAATGAAGAGGAACAAAGACTGATCCATTACCTGAAAGATCTGCTCTGCTGATGGTTCAATACATAGCTAGAAAATCCTTGACAACCCAACAATCCAGGACCGTCTTAATTCAGGGGAATGCCAAATGGGTAAAGGAACTGACTGTCCATTAGGAGTGTCTACACAGGGCGGAAAAGGTGATTCAGCAGCACCTGGCAGAGTCTCTCATGATCTTGTTTATAATAAGCCACAAGAACAGTAATAAAGGTATTCATTGACATTTTAGTTGAACTTTTCCCTCATCAAGCACACCCACACATACCTGAGTTTTAGCCAGTATTGACAGATCTTACAGATCGGAACAGCTTCTACCTCCAAAATACCTCCAAATTAAGCAGGCAAACATTTATTGATCACCATCTAACCCTTTTTGACATTATTTTGACTTGGCACACCTAACAACYGATATTTTCCTCATCTCCTTGAGCATTTAAACTCCAGAAAGTGCAGGTCCAGCCTATGTTTAAAGAAAGAAACCCACAGAAACATGCACAATTACAACCACTCCTCACACTGGAGCATGGCAGAGAGCTGGCCAGGCCAACTGAGCTGCACTGATACAACTCACCCTGAGTCCCAGCAGCATCACTTATAATGGTGGATTGGAYTACCAGCTTGGAGATGATCTTCCATGGCAGGGAACACACTTGTGCTGTGGACAGCAGATAAGGGAATCCACAGGGAGGTGCCTGACAAAGCCAGGCTCATGGCCAGCACACTTACCGATGATGGCGATGAGCTGTCCAGAACATATTGGTCCTCAAAATCCCATTGTGGCTCAGATTTGAAATCAGCAGCTTTCAGTCTTTTCTTTTCTGTCACTGCAGCAGCCCGAGTCGTAGGTCTTAAGCCACTGGCTTTTGTTGAAGCAAGAGGCTCTTTTGGCTTTGCTTTTTCTTTGGATGCACTGCTTTTTTGAGCTCCTTTCATCTCAGAAGCTGCTCTTAACGTTGCGTTTTTCTTGGCCCCCTCCACCCCAGAGGCTGCCTTTGACTTCTCCTTGCCCCCTTCTACTTCAGAGACTGGTCTCACACTCATCTTCTCCTTAKCTCCCTCCACTCCAGAGCCTGGTCTTGACATTGACTCGTTCTTGCCTGCTTCTGCTTTAGAGGCTGGTCTCACCATCTTCTGCTCTTGGCCCCCCTCCACTCCAGAGGCTGGTCTTGCTATTGTCTTCTTAGTTTCYTCCACCCGAGGGGCTGGTTTTGCAAGCATCTCTTTCTTGGCTCCCTCTATCTCCCCAGGGACTAGTTTCATTGTCTTCTGCTCTTCTTTTGCTTCCCGGCTTGGTGCATCCTTAGCCATATCYGGTTCAAATCTCATGGCATCTTTTCCCAAGGCCACCTTTGAAAATATCAAGTTCCCAGCAGCAGAATGGCCCAAAACCTTTTTCTTGGGGGTGTCCACTTGTACAGCGTTTGGGGCAGGCTGGAAGAAGTTGACCTGGCTGCATGCAATCAAAGAAAAGCAGACACATCACACACACTTCACATACACTTTAGACCTAGCACTAAGCTCCCTCCAGCCCACTCTGAGTGCTCTTGAGCCCCCTTCTGTCCTTSAGAGCACAGCTACACACACACACAGAGGATTTGCTTTGCTAACTGCTCCTGAGCTTCTGCAGGAAAGTAACCRAGTGCCTTGCTTGAAGGACACTTCCTGAGCAGGATTTTGGTTACAATTTTGCCACCAAAAGGCTTCAGCTTTCCATACTCTTCCAGCTGGATCTCCCCAATAATGAAATCAGATATCCCACACTCACCTCTGGATTTGGCTCTTGAAATATCCACACTGTCAGTAACTGTGAACCAGCACAGAGCAGCTTCCCTCAACCCCAAGCAGACASGGCCCAGGACAAGAGAGCAGAGAAAAGGAGAGGACCCGGGTCCCACGGCACCTGTGCTGTGTCCCCTTCAGAGTGCTCACAAAGAGCTGGCAGCTGAGAGGCAGGCAGCTCCATCATCAGATCCTCATTAGGAGACCCCTTCCAAAGGGAGGTCCTGGCCATCCTGCAAGCGTCCCAACACCCAGAGCCCAGCACCAGCACAGATCCTGCCCACTGAAGCTTATAGCCCTGCAGAGAAAAGACAAAAGCGTTGATTTCCAGTACAGAACAAGGCACRGGCAGGTTGTGTGAGGCCCAATTCATCACTCAAGTCTGGATTGGAATCAGGGACTGAAGAGCCATCCAGATCTTGCACGGTCGGGGCCTCAAGGCAGCCAAAGTAATGCAAACGCACTGACCAGGCACACACACATGTGCACTTTAAAGTATTAAAATGCACTTTTAAGCTGAAAAAGACAGTAAAATGCCTGCATTTTCAGCTATTGCCTTTAACATGACAGCTGCCCGACTTAGAGGTGCAGCCAGGTACATGAATCTCATAAGTGGATACAGCTGCAAACACCAGAAATGCCACCTGCAACAAGTAGGCAGGGCTGAAATCCAGCAAAGTATCAGGGTAAAAGCATTGGTTTTTTCTCCTAAACTACTCCAGCTTATCTGCAAATGGTTGGAGGGTAAAGCAGAGAAAGGAAGTTGCAAAATTTCTGCAGCTGAGCCTTTATTTACAGGAAAGCTTTTCATGACAAACTGGTATAGCTGCAGCAGCGTAATTTCACACTCACGTTTGCCCATTTTAAGATTGATTTGTTTTATAGAGCTATGGATTACTTCCAACGTGACAAATGGGGGAAAAAAAGCACCTCTGTGCATTGCAGGCTGTAGGTAGTAGCTCAAGTGCGACCRAAGCTTCAGAGAGTTTCCTCATTCATTAAACTGATTAGAAACTTATCAGAATAGAAAGGCTTTTAAATTATCATTTGGTAACAGATAAATACCAGACTTTCCCAATATTGTTTCCAAGGAAAAGAGTTTTGGGTAAACAATTAACAGCTCTGACTCTAGCTCCCCTGATCATTAGCAGCTTTCAACCAAATATGCAGCAGCTGCTTTCTATCACATCATGCAGAAATTTGTGTTGCTGGATACTGGCAAATAAAGGGAAAATTTTATATTGCTCTAAAAGAGCTTCTTAGAGCTTAAATATCTGCATGAGTTCCTGTTATGCTGTTTAAAAGCAGCTAAAAAATAGCAGGACAGCATGACAAACCATGGCATACACCAGATTTTTCCTGTGTCCTCTTCCAGCAGGAATAGATTCTAATCCAGCCCTAGAAGATTTTAATTCTAAACTCTGAGCCAAACATTCAAAGACCAACGTGTAAAATGAAGGGCCCTTCATACTCAAAACCCTCCTGCAGCCAGACCCACATGGGAGGCACTTGTACAGGGTTCTGCTCTCCCAATCAGCTTGTAAAATGCAACTAAAGGCCAATGAGGCTCATTCTCAATAGCTCCTTACCTTTCTTATACCTTATAACCACCCCACCCAGGCATTTCCAGCCTGGTCCCACAGCACTAGCCCTTGCAAAGTGCAGGTGAAAACTAATCCTACACCGTGGTTCCCTCCACACTCATTCTTGCAGCTTAATCGTCTCTATTAAAAATACTGCACGTTGATTGCCCCTGCATGATATCAACAACCAAGTTCACTGCACACTGCAATACTACAAGTTTTCATACAGGTGTTAGAAATCAAATGCTGGACTCTATAGTATGAACATACTCCACCAAGTTCAGTTTCCAGCAGCACAGTCTGGACTAAGGCTGAATTCCCTTCAGCAACCCACCAAATAAAGAGAAATCCCTTGCAGTGACAAAGTCTGAAAACTTGTAGTATTAGAAAAGGAAAAGCTGGTTTCTTAAGCACTAGAGAAAACACTAGAAAGCAGCTGACAGAAGCAAGTCTTGGACCACAACCTCCCAGAACTGGGCTGCAGTTGGAGACTGGTCTGCTAAAGCACAGAGATTACCTAACTCAGATAAGAAGTACAAATTTGTAGGTAAAAAGACAAAGAGAACATGACCACAGGGTATCTTCCAAGGAAGAAGGTCTCTTACCTGAGGGTTGTTTTCTCGAACAAGCCAAACAAGGAGCCAGAATTAGCAATGAAGAGGAGAAGGAGTGTTAAAACAAGGATCCAAGAGACGACCTTGGGRACTCTAGGGAGTCTTCTCCAGAAAAAATACATGGTGAGATGCTAGGGAGAGCCAACGGCTCTGCTCCTGCTGCCCGGAGGTGCAGACTCTGCACTGCTTCCCAAAGGTGAGTCAGAAGAGTGGGCTGGTCTTCCCTCTGGATTTCCCTATGAGGATGTACACACCCTCTCCTAATGCTCCCAGCTCCCGTCCTCTGCATACGGGTCTGATTTCAGAGGAAAGCACAGGAGCCTTGCACTGCTCCTGTCTACTGGCCTAAGCTCACTGCAATGCAGCGCGAGGAAAGGAACTCCTTTTTCTGCTAACCAGGGAGGTTTCCTTTATCATCTTCAACGGGGTCAGTCTGGTATAAGAGGAAAAACACCCTTTATCTCTCAAATCCATTGTAGGCATCACTAGGAACATCTGTGTGAACTACAGCAGTAGMCATCATCACAGTCAAATAAATCAATTTTCAGATGACAGTCTATCTTAAGATATATTTTTATTTTCTTCTGCTTGTACTAATTCCTCATAGCCCAAATCCCAAAACAATCTGTGCCCTCAAAATCTGATGGCTGGAGACACATCTATTTTACCCAGTGRTTGCATTGGGACATGTCAGTCTCCCTTCAAAACCACTTAGGACTGGAGTAATTTTTACCTATAAAGCAGATTAGGATTTGGGTGAAGCACTACAGGATGGGATTTGCAGTCAGACACTCCCTTCCCTTTGCATCAAAGCTGACCTGTCTTTGGGGCAGCTGGAAAACATTCAGTGCAGAGTTTTGCTTGCTTGGAAGATGCTGGTTCCTCACAACCTACCACAGCAGTGTGCACTCACCGACYGCTCTTCCTTCTGCACACTCAGACGAATGTCCTCAGCATTCACCTGGAACTGGTCTTGCAGTTTTGGCTTCTGAGCTCCTGCTCCATCACCTCACAGGGATCACCTGTGGCCAGGAAACAGCAGTGAAGTTAATTTGCCAATGAAATGGAGCACAGATGGATTTGAAACTAAGGCTAGTGACAAAATTTAAGAGATTAAGAGATCAGCATCATCTTGGTGACCGCTCACAGTGMTGCCACTTGAAATCTGGTTGGTTTCAAAGTAAAGTCAAGCTTCTCTCCCCCCCGCCCCCAAAGTAAAGTCAAGTCAAAGCAAGGTTTTACCAAGGGGACATGCACAGAGATTGCTCCAGCCGTACTGAGCCTTGATCGCAGCCCCAGGGGGTTCACTCTGCATTTAAGGGGAATCATTTGCACATTCAGACATGGCCTACGTTGCCTYTTCCTTGATACGTAGCCCTTGACAACCTCCCTCCTTACCCTAGCTGCAAAACAGGCCCTTCTTCCCCTCCATGGCAATGACACAACCAAATTGACCCTTTCCAGAAAGCTAGCCATCTGCCTGGGGACGGATATTCCTCTCATCACCAGCAGAGGGAAACATGAAAAGAAACCAACACTGCAGCTAGGGAAAGGTTGAGCCCTCCCAGCCGTGCAGCTTCCCCTGCTCTAGGAGGGGGCTACTTTAACCCATGGCCAACTGTTAAATATTAACCCCAACAGATCAAGAGCAGATGGTCAGGCTGCCTCTCACTGAAAAGGCTGACTTTATGCACCTCTTATCAGCATTTAAGCTCAGATACAAAAAGGCCTTTGTGGTCAGCAGCACGAGCCCCAGCTCCTGAATACACAGAATACAGAGTTCAAGCTGTTTGCTTTGCCAGGGGAAATGCAGCTTTCCCGGCCACCTTGCACTAACCCACACATCAGAGCAGAGCCTAACTGCAGGGATTCCTTGTGCCAGGCCTGCTGGTAGCTCTATTCCTGTATTGCCCAGGTCTCCTGACAAGGTGTYGCCTCTGGGTTTAATGCAAGACAGCAGGTATCAGAGGGACCTGAAGAAAAGCAAGTCAATCCCACAGATATGAAAAGCCCTTGAAGAAATCCAAGGGAAGGCTGTTGGCCAGGAGATAACTCTGATTCCATCTACACCTCACTCTTCCACAGCCTGAGCCTAGGATCAAGACCAACTAAATATCTGAAGGTACTTAGAGGGACCAGCCATGGTCCTGCTGTGCTCCTGCACAGCCCACTCGAGCTCCTGGCAATGCTGGATACACGAGCTACAGATCTGGGTGCAGCAGGAAAGCTGCACCTTTGTGCCCTAAAGCCCCAACTTTTTCTTGCCTTACACGGGAATTATCTAAATTAGGATAATTTCAATAATACACAGAAATTATTTGGCATTATACAAACCTCTGGCAAGCGATATTAGCTGAATGCAAGCTTGCAACGCAAAACAAGCAGCTTCTCACCTTCATGCATGGGTGTAAAAAAACCAAAACCCAAGAGGACTAGATGATCCCTAGAGGTCCCTTCCAACCTCATCACTCTGCGGTTCTGTGAGCTAGAAGTACTACCTTTCGTTTCCTTACCGTGTTTGCTCACAATTTCCCCAAGGCCACTACTGAGAACACCCAAGCTGGCCACCTAGCAGAGATGTCTCGACTGCTTCTCTTGGACACTAGGTGCGATCACAAGGTGACTCTCATGGGAAACAGGCCTACACTTTCTCAGCCAAAGCTAGGGATGACCTTGGTGAAACCTGAAGAACGGCCCAAGAACAGCACTGCTCCCTTGTCAACCTCTTTTAGAGGTAGGATCGCCCTCCTCACCCACAGAAAGGTTATTTCCATTCTCTCCACAGACAGTGAGATA